TCTCTCTCTCTCTCTCTCTCTCTCTCTCTCTCTCTCTCTCTCTCTCTCTCTCTCTCTCTCTCTCTCTCTCTCATTGTTTTGTGGACTTGTTACTACATCTTCTTTAACACATACGTACCTCATAGTCTGTCTGTGACACAGTTTCTCTGCTCCTCTGGTACTTCTTCACCCACGGGGCAATTTCTGGATCTTCCATTAACTTCTTCTCCGTTGCCTCCTGGTCAGGTCCCAGGAATGCGGACATAACTGCCACCTGAAACATTTGTCAAAAGTGAAAACCCGAGAAAAGCGAGGGCCCAAAGATGTCACAGCGTGTTACAAACATCCCGCAGAACTCTCCGCCCTACTCCCCCTTGTCCGCCCCACTCCCCTCTCTGCCCGCTCAACCTCAACGACAACCTACATCTTCCCCCTCCCTACCCTCCCCACTTCTCTTTCATTGAATCTACATTGGGCCTCACCACACCACCTCCAAATGTGCAAAATGAGACTATCTCCCGGTAGAACACGGAAAGACACACCCACTATATTTTTCTCTTTTTCACATCTGGTGAGTTGTGCTGCGAGGCCCATCGACAGGTGTGGACTCCGAAGTACAAAGATGACGCGATATAAACTGATCTGACGTCTGTGGTTAAGAAAAGGGACTGGAGTCCTCAGAATAGAATGGGGAAGGAGATACTGACATCTGACATTGACATCTGACATTGACATCTGACATTGACATCTGACATTGACATCTGACGCTAACATCTGACAGTGACCTCTTTGCATTTTCTTTCCATGTATAGCCCGTGCATTTATGCATTTCATCGCTTCTCCCCCTGGATTTATGCTGGTTTGGGGGAACAATATGAGTGTGCATGATCTATCCGACTCTTCGTTGCAGAGCCTGATCTTTCCCGTATTTCCCTCTCCAGCAGAGGGCTTAGGGCGTAGGTTTGGGTTTAGGGATTTTACTCCTGACCAGAGGGTGTAGGGTTGATTGGTTAGAGCGTAGAGCGGGCTTAGGGTTTAGCATTCAGGCTGTGCATTGCGATGTGGTGGCCATTTTCTTTCGTTTGCATCTCATCTCATAATTTTTTGTTTTTGAGTTTCGATCACGTAGGCTACTTGGTTCGCCCGGCAGTGCAGCATGGCCGTGCACTCTGGGCAAGTCGCCTGGGGCTCACACTGCATGGGGTACCCCGTGCAGGCAAAAATCAGCCCTTCTTTTTTTTTTTTTTTTTTTTTTTTTTTTCAAGTGGAGGTTTTCTGCGCATGGCAAAAGGAGCCCAAGTCTGGGCTCCTCTCTTTTTCCGAGTGCTGGCTGTCAAAGGGGCGGAAAGGGGATATAAATTCAGGGGCTAAAGGGGTTTAAACTTTAAACTTTAAAGGGGGGTGCCTTAGTCTAATTCTGTTGCTTTTACTTTTATCTTCGATTCTGTGAGGAATTCTGATATGACCCTCAGCCAAATTGTCGTCCGATATTGCAATTCTACACAACATATTTTTTTCCCCTGGATTTTTTTTTGATTTTTTTCTTTTTTCTTTTTTGAAGTTTTTTCGTGTTTTGTCGCTGGAGCTACCTGGACCACTGCCCGGGGCTCATGCCCAGCCGCGCACCGGGCATGTATCCAGGCACAAGTGGGTTGCCTGCGCGCCTGAACAAACAGCTTACCTAGTCAATTACAGGATTCTCATATACATTATATATTATATTTTAAAAAGATTTAAAAGAATCAGATTGTGGCCAGGGACCTCACAATTCAACCTTTCGGAACATACTGGGCCATTTATTACCCAGCTCCGTCTGTTACCCGAAACTACAAAAAAATTGAAAAAAATAGACCAAGAATACGAAGTTACGAACCTACGAACCAAGAATACGAAGCTACGAACCTAGTCAAATTCTTCCTTACAAGAACACAAACTTAGGAATGTACTGCAAGACTGTAGGTTCTAGGATGGAATCAGAGTCAGAGGATAGAGCAACTGAACCAAGTGAACCTACTTGGGGTACGATGACAATGCGGTTGTAGGGCTTCTTTCCGTCTGTCAGTGTGTATGTCTGTGTGTGTCTCTGTCTGTCTCTGTTTGTGTCGCCCTCTTGCTCTCTCCCCCTCTCTTTCTTTCGGGGGAGAGGGCAGGGGGAGGAGGGGGGGGAGGGGGGGGGGGGGGGAAGGATATGTTTACAGTTTTCTTAAGCCAGAGGACTGTTTCCCAATCATGTGTTGGCTGTGCTGTAAGTTGTGTTTTAAACCACCAGTACTTGCTAAAGTCGTGGCCGTTAACGCTACGCGATTTTAGGAAACGTACGGGCCACTACAGGAGCGCCCAAATTCATTCAACTAGAAACGTTTCTACTCTATTTTTTTCCGCGGCCGATAGCTGGGCCAAGTACTGGTGTGAAACGGTATTCACCAGTTCGCAGTAGCCGATGCAGATCCCAGGGCTCGATCCCTAGCCCCCACCTTACCTGTGTACAGTACCTGTGTCGCCCCGTAGAGTTGAACCCGCGACCTGTGTATTTTTAACAGCTGATCGGTTGTCATAGGGTCCATAGGTAGAATGGGTTCGATCTGTAGACCTGCCGGATAGGAGTCCTAGCCAGGTCTAAAGGTCGTAGCTGTAGCATTCTCGAAGAGTCAGGGTCGTAGCTGCTACAGTCCAGAAGAGTCAAAGTTGTAGCTGCTATGATACCGAAAGGCCAAGTCCACGGCCTCCCGGAAGGTCTGAGTAGTGGCCTTTCGGAGTGTCCCACACTTAGACTGAGGCAAGTGGGCAAGTGGCGAGGCAAGTGGTAGAGTTTGCCCATGCAGAGTCAGCAGTCCCAGTCCTAGGCAATCCGGTCCAGACAAGCAAGTACCGTATGGGACTGTGTGCACATCGGGCCTGGGAAGGGGCCAGACCAGCGCAGCGCAGAAGTATAAATCAAGAGGCAGCGCCCAGCCATTCATTCATTCCTGCGTGAGCCATGCGGAAGCGCTGCCACAGCGACTTGTGCAAGGAGGTCTGCAGTGAGCCCGAGGACGAAGTGGGCAAGGAAGACGAAGTGTAGCCATAGCGATAGGGTAGTGGCGGCCATAGCTGCCATAGCTGTAGTTAGTGTTCAGAGTGTGTGTATGTGTGTTCAGAGAGATGCGTGTGGGATATCCAGGGTGATCCAGGACATGTTAACAGAGAGTTGTATGGGCGATACATCGCCATAGCCATTGGAAGTGAACTCATATCTGGGTTGCCATATCTCTGAGTACTGAGTGGGCGCATGTCGCCAGTTTGCTGCTCTACTGTGTGCAGGCATGTAAAGTGTGAATGAAAGCAAGTCTGATTGCAGGTGGTTTAAGTATTTACTATTTTGTCCTTATATTATTGTATATAGTCATAGAGAGCTGCCAGGTGCACAGTAGGGACAGAGGGAGAAAAGGACAACAAATGAGGGGGCTGTAGGTCAAAGTGAACCGGGGGGTTGCTCCACCCAATGGCATGAAGCCATAGCCATAAGGCCCATAACGCTATGTTTCTTCCGTCATTCAGGACAAAAGAGTTACATACATAAATAAATAAATAGTAAATACTAAATAAACAAACAACTAAATAAGTAATTTAAGATAAATAAATAAATAAATAAATAAAGAAAGAAAGAATTTCAAAGAAAGAACAGGAGGGCAACAAGAGAGATGGCGAAGGGGGGACGGAACCGAAAGAAAAATCATGTGCTTTCTGCAAGCCGCGTAACGGAGCAGGCACTGATATTATTTGCTCCGCACTGTCCGCAGCAAGATTTGAGCCGATGACCTGTTGATCAATGGCTGCCTGTGGCACATGCTGTTATGTGTTATTCACCCACCAGATACAAGTTCATAAAACACAAAAAAGTTAAAAAAAGTTCAAAAAACCATGGGCTGAAAATTCAGGGCATGCATTGCAGAGTCCCACAGGGACACCTCTCCGAGAAAAAGACGGATAAAGAGAGGGAAAAGTACAATCACTCAAACAAACTTACTTGCAATAAGGGAAAAGAAAACAAGGAAAAGAAAACCATACAAGGTGAGGGATGTTCACCATGACATTTGTACTTTTGCTTGTGCTGAACAGTCCATGGGCAATAAGACGTATTCAAAAGAGAATGACAAAAAACTCTCACTCTTAGTGAAGGATAGGAGGAAGGGGAGGAGGAGGAGGAAGAAAAAGAAGACAAAGAAGGAAGGAAGGAAGGAAGGAAGGAAGGAAGGAAGGAAGGAAGGAAGGAAGGAAGAGAGAG